CCCGCCACAATGCCCGGCTATTTTTTGGTTGCAGCCATTATTATTGTTTGGCGGGCCCGGGCTGGATTCGAACCTGCCACCTTAGGTGTATGTGGCTGGCGCCTTAGCTGCTTGAGCCACAGGTGCCGAGCCCTATTGCCTGTTTTTAATACAAATAAGTAATGTTTGAAAATCTTTTTTTTTTTTTTTTTTGGCCAGGGCTTGGTTTGAATCCGCCACCTCTGGCATATGGGGCTGGCACCCTACCCCTTTGAGCCACAGTGCCACCCCAATGTTTGAAAATCTTAATTTTGACATAAAACTTGATTAAATCAGCAGGCTCAAGTTGTAGTCTGTCTTGTTATATTGAAATAGAAAAATTTTGTTACAATAAAAAAAGGCAAGGTTATGATAAAGTTTTTTTTCTGTGAGTAAAGGAAGATGGCATTTCATATTCTGAAATATTTTTCTCTGTGTCGTTTGTTAAAGAGGATGGCATACCCTGTGGATATGCTGGACAATTGCAGTCATGAAGAACTGGAAAACTCTGCTGAAGATTACATGTCAGATTTAAGGTGTGGGGACCCTGAAAATCCAGAATGTTTTTCTCTTCTCAATATTACGGTAAGGTATTGTGCAGTCCTTTTTGTTGTCAATCTTTTCGGTCCAGTTTATACAAGAAGTCAATATCCTGTCATCTTTATTATCTTGAAGTATTAACTAATAACTTTTGAAAATCTCAAATGGCTCAATGCCTGTAGCTCAGCCAGCTGTACTCTGGAGCTGGGCGGGTTCAAATCCAGCCCGGGCCTGCTAAACAATAATGACAACTACAACAACAACAACAAAAATAGCTGGGTGTTATGGCGAGCGCCTATAGTCCCAGCCACTTGAGAGGCTGAGGCAAGAGAATTGCTTAAGCCCAAGAGTTAGAGATTGCTGTGAGTGAGCTGTGAAGCCACGGCACTCTACCCGGGGCAACAGCTTGAGACTCTGCCTCAAAAAAAAAAAAAAAATCTTTTCAAAAGATTTATTAGAAATCTATTTAGTAAAATGGGTAAATATTGCTTGATTCATAGAACAGCATAATTAGTTTTTAAAACTCCACAGGTTGTTGCTTAGTATTTGTCTTTGTGCCTTTAAAATTATATTGAGTTCATCTGCTTTGCTAAGACCGTTTATTTGAGCTAACTCTGATCAAATTTAGATTTGAAATTTGTGAATTGAGAAATTTTTTTACTTAAAATACCAGCAAAACATGAAATGACACATTTTTGTATTATGAGTCTCCTTTCCTCTTTGTGAAATAGTAAAATCAAATTTTCTGGTTGGTAACCATGATATTTTGTGGTAGACCATTAGACTTGGAATCATTAGGGTTCCACTATGAACAGGCCTGGGCAAATTCCTTAAATTTTCTAGGCCTCAGATTTTTCTTCTGGAAGTAATAGATTATTTAAGAGTTTTTTTTTTTTCTAAACATCTTTTTCAGCACTAGTATTTTATAGTCTGGATTGAATAAGTATTTAACTGGGGAATTAGTGTTGGATTAATGAAGAAAAACATGCTTAAGCATGTTAACAGCATATATCTCACTGAAAAAGTAAACTCACCTGTTTTATTAGGAAACAGATTATGTCCCCCTCAAGTAGTCTAAATAATCAATGATAAATTATTTTTTTTTTAATATTTAAAAAAATTTGTTATTGGGGATTCATTAAGGGTACAAGAAACCAGGTTTCACAGATTGCATTTGTTAGGTAAAGTCCCTCTTATAATCGTGTACTCCTTATAAAAGGAGTGGCACACACCAAGACCCCACCCCCCTCCCTCTTTCCCTCTCTCTGCTATTCCTTCCCCACTCCTCCCTCCTCCTTCCTCTCTCTGCTCTCCCCTTCCCCCACCGTGTCATTAATTGTCCTCATATCAAAATTGAGTACATAGGATTCATGTTTCTCCATTCTTGTGATGCTTTACTAAGAATAATGTGTTCCACTTCCATCCATGTTAATACAAAGGCTGTAAAGTCTCCATTTTTTTTAATGGCTGAATAGTATTCTATGGTATACATATACCACAGCTTGTTTAATCCATTCCTGGGTTGGTGGCTGTTTCCACAATTTGGCAATTGTAAATTGAGCTGCAATAAACAGTCTAGTGCAAGCATCCTTATTATAAAATGATTTTTTTCCTTCTGGGTAGATGCCCAGTAATGGGATTGCAGGATCAAATGGGAGGTCTAGCTTGGGTTCTTTGAAGGTTCTCCATACTTCCTTCCAAAAAGGTTGTATTAGTTTGCAGTCCCACCGGCAGTGTAAAAGTGTTCCCTTCTCTCCACATCCACACCAGTATCTGCAGCTGTGAGATTTCGTGATTTCGTAACCCCATTCTCACTGGGGTTAGATGGTATCTCAGGGTGGTTTTGATTTGCACTTCTTTAATAATTAGGGATGATGAG